TTTGATATAAAAAATATCTGACAAAATCATTTAAAAATATCAATATTTTTTTATTTTTTATTTGATGCTATATTAACTTGATTGATAAAATTAAAGTCTATTGTATCTTACTAAAAAATTGTAAATTGTAGAAATCAAAAACTAATAAGCTTTTAAAAAAAAATTATAAAATATATCTCGAGACAATATAACATTTGAAAATGTTGCTTATCAATATTGTCAATGTTAGTAATAATGATATCAACTGCGGTAGTGGTTTAATGATAGAGCACTCGCTTCATAAGCGAGAGGTTCAGAGTTTGATTCCCACCACGTCCCTGGTAGTACCGCACTCAACTTGTTCTCCGCCCAGCAGCCTTGTTTGTCAAGGTTCGTGTTTCGGAGTTATAGAGTTGAGAGAGTTTTATACCCAAAAGTAGCCACCTCATCTGTAGTGGCCTTCTTGGCCTTGGGGAGGTGAATTACAAAAAAAAAAAAAAAAAAAAAAAAAAGTCAATGTTGATTTAAAATTTTATAAAATTTTTAGTACTCTAAAATCTTTTCAAATAAATATGATATATATTGTTCTACAGCTTTTGTAGAACAATAAAAGTACTAATTCCATATGCTATAATTAATAGTTAATTTTACTGTTTAGCATCATTCCATTAAACTTTTTTTTTTTACTTTTGTCACACTCTGACCCACTGTGCTTCGCGGAGATTTTCATTCAACATAAAACGCTTTTGAATTGAAATTACTCTAAATCTCTGCATGGAAACCAATAATATTTTAAAGATATATTAAGTTTGATTTACTGAATGGATAAAGTACATCACAATTTACCTATAAACTAAATCAAAATAACCAGTAACTTACTCAAGTAACTAGAGTTACTTGAGTCTTTGAGTAAGTTACTACAAAGACTTGCTTTAGTCAGCCATACAAATGTTTCTATTTATATCTTATGTTATTAACACAAATAAGCTTTTACCTAAAAATTATTTTAACAAGTAATTTCAAACAGAATATGAAAAACACTTTTTAACAATATCTTTATTTTATTTAAAGCAATATCAACTAAAATTAAACATTTTCTATAAATACATTAGTTGTTTTTAGGATTTCTTTTTTAAAAAAAAAATCTATTTGAACAAAAGAATTTTAGTCTTCTAAAATTCTCTGATTCAAATAATTTTGCGATTGAAATTTGAAATTTAAAAAAATTGGAAAATTTTAAAAGAATTTTAATGCTCAATAATCATTAATTTAACTGCAGCAGCTCCTGTATTACTCGTTGGCATAGCAAGGATCATTCCTGAAAGTTAAATGTATATCTACATAAAAAAGCTACAGTAAAAAAATTAGCAGATTTAGAACATATTGCAAATGAGGAAGGAAGTTTTATTTAATTTGTAAACATTTTGAATAGTTAATTATTTTTTGTTTTTCGAAAATAGTTTTAAAAGTAGAAACATTCTATCGCAAATATTTACCCAGCAATTATTGCAAACATTAAACCAAAAATTAATTTATAAAAAATTTAAATAAAAAAAAATAGTTTTACTTTTGTTCAAAGAAATTTTTTTCCAAAAAAATAATTAAGCATATACCTAAACTTAAGGAGATATAATTCGATTTATTAAACTAAATTTTTTTCTTTCACTTTTTATTGCAAAATAATTTGAATAAAAACATCAAATTGAATGAAAACATCAACTTAAAAACCATTTGAATAATAAAAAAAAATAATTATACTTAAATTTTTAATAGTAAACTAGATTAAGAAACAATAAATTATAAAAAGTAATGTCTTTTTGCTTCAATCTTACTTGTTTGGTTTATAGAACATAGACTTATATGGTCTGGAGGCATGTTTTTGTGCAAATATGAAGTTTAAAGTTGTATGACAATATTGTTTTAATTTTTTTAATTAGAACAAATCTATTTATTTACTTTATTTTATTTTAAATGTGTTAAATGTTAATAATGCTATAAACTGTGTAAAACACCAATAAAAAATAAAACAGCAATAAAAAATAAAACAGCAATAAAAAATAAAACAGCAATAAAAAATAAAACAGCAATAAAAAATAAAACAGCAATAAAAAATAAAACATTAACACAAGCTCTTTATATTGTCTGGACAACTTTGCAGTTTGTTTTACTGTTGTTTTATAGCTTTTTACAATAACCTTTGAAATTTTTTTTCAATAATCTTTAAAAAAAAAAAACACTTTTTTATTGATACTTTAAAAAGTAAAAGTAAAAAAGATATGATATCATGTTAATTAAAAACAATTACTCAAAGTAATACTGTAGTAGTATTAAATACATTACTTGCTCATTACATTATAACTTGCTCATTACACTATAACTGCAACTTAACCTTTAAATTATAACTTATGCTGTAAATTTAACAGTAACTTAGACTATTTTAAACCCCGTCAAACAAGAATATTATAAAAAATATTTAACTATGAAAAACATTATATTAAAAAAACTAAAAATTATGAACTTATGTACAAATGATACAATTTTATACAAATGCAACCCCTCACCTCTTACCGCCAGAGGTGAGGGGGAGGAAGGCAAATTGCTTTTGCTTAGGATTAGAAATTCCAGATGATATTACATTTTAGGACAATGATGAAGATGATATACACATTGTCGAGGCTGAATTAACACAATTCAACCAATTCAACCTGGCATTGTACAAAGAGCACAAATTAAAACTACTCGTTTGCAAATTGAAGGCAATAATATATTGTTGAGTGTTACATTGGCGAATGTTACAAGGATTTTTTTGATATTTTATATATGACTTGTTAAAGCATTATGCAAACTCCAAACTTAAGTGTGTTCATGCACATGTCAAATTAGTATACAAATTTTTAATTATATATATTTTAAATAAACACTAATTACATGATTACATGAAAAAAAATTAAAGTTTTTATAGCAGGTTTAATTGTATATTAAACAATTGTCAAAATTAACCTGCTTTTTATAACCTCTATTTAGATTCGATTCTGAATTCCTCTCTTTCTCTTTTCTACTTAAAATTAGTTTCCTAATTTTTATAATATTTTTTCCTAAATATATTCAATAAAAAATATTTATTTAGTTTTTATTTTTATAAAAATAATAATTGTCATTTTATGAAGCTGTAAAAAATATTAATTAACAATAATCCCTAATTTAAATTTGTTAGAAATTATATGAAATTTAATATTAAAAAGTTTTGTTTTATAAAATTACGAAAACTGGGTTCATTTAAAAAAAAATCCACTCGGTTTTGTGTGTATGTGTGTGTAAGTTTACAACGTTCAGCACAACTTGCGCGCAACTCTAACTTTATGGAAATACTGCAAAACATTCGTGAATACCAAATAGTTACAAAAACAAAACTGAATGCTCAGTTTTCATAACCTTAATTGAGCTACACAAGAGTTACAAAAGCTTGGTGAATACGTATCTAGAGGTTAAAAAAAAACACAAACATACATATACACTGTGACTTTCAGGTGAATCAGCACCGCGCCAAAAAGTTAGCTAGGACTAAACTAAAATTGAAAAACTCACTCACAACACATTATCAGTGGTATCGTAAATAAATACCACTTCCTATTTATAAATTATTTTAACCTTTTTAGTTTTACCATTAAGTTTGCTTTAAATTATTTTGATCCAATTGAACTTGATTTTAGTTTAGATAAAAAATAAAAACTTGCTTTTAGTTTATATTAAAAAATAAAATTTTAACTCACTTAAAATGTTAGGAGTTTGTATATGTATTTATAATATAAGTGAATTTTCAATAGGTACTAAGTCCCAAAAAAATAAAATTTTAAGCTTATTCAATTTCCAAATTTTATATACTAAAATCTATCATCTATTTAAATATTAGATATAATAATAAACTTTTGGTCCAAATAATAGATCAAGAGGATATCAATATCTGTTGTTGTGCATCTATAAGTAAGTCTAGCTTGCTTCGATTTCTCAAAATCCGTTTAGTTATACTTAGCACCATTTGAGAAAAAAAAAAAAGTTTTTCACATATTTTAATTTGCTTTCACATATTTTAATCTATAATAGTTGATAAAAAGAGAAAAAAATTCTTTATATTGCAAAACTGTTTCACATTCATTTGAAACAAAAATTTACACTATAAGTTTTACTATTTTAAAATCCTAAATTTAAATTTAAAAACTTTCAAAACTGAACTTAAATTTTTAATTTTCAAAATCGTATTTAATTTAAAATCTTTTAATTAAAAATATATACAATAAATATTTTTTACATAATAAATATATTCAATAAATATATAAAATAAATATTTTTTCCTTTAAAGAGATCACTAAGTGTGAAGATAAGTTGTATTCATATTTTAAATAATTAAAAAAAAAAAGTTTTATGTTAATTAAACTTTCCAGAACAAATTATTTATTGAGATATTAGCAAAAAACTTTATAATTTTTAACAGAATTATTTTTGCAGAAAATGGTTGCAATACCAATGAAACTGATTTTAATATATCTTGTTTAGGTAACAGTTGAAATCTAGCTGCTTTTGTAGTGATTGTTGGAAGAATATTGATTTTGTTATCAGGAAGAAGAACTGTGATTTTATTTGCAGCAAATTCATAATGAAGAAATATTTTGTGATACTAAATTTTTTAACTGTTTATTGTAATTGAATAACAGATCAAAAAGTTTTTTAATTTATTATTTCAGCAGTAATTTTATTGCTTGTATTTAAGTCCCCATGCCTATGCATGAAAACGAGGAGAGGCAGTAACTGTGAAACTAAAACTTTTTTGGAGATATTTTTGGATAATTGACAAAATCAATTATTAAAATTAATTTAAATGACTATATTTCTCAAAAATTATAACTGTATATAAGTAAAAAATTCCTAATTTCAAATAATTTCAAAACTTGGATTATCAAAATTATTTTCCTGGAAAAAGGTTTTTAAGAATTTGCAAATAACTTTACAAAAACAATAACTTAAACCTGATTTTTGAATTGAAAGTATCCACTCATCTCTGTTTGTTTCATAGGTATCTTTGTTCCATGCAATAACATCAAGAGTTATTAAACCAGATTCTGATGGAGTCCCATAAAGAATGGCATCTGAAGTTGACTCCTAAAAAATATTATATTTCAAAACCTGATAGTTGCACAAAAAAAACCTAACAACTGAGAAACCCTGCAAGTGACAAAATTACTCATAATATTTTTTTATATAAACTGGCTTATAATAACTATTGATAGGCTCTAGAGAGAGACAGAGAGAGAGAGAGAGTAATAAACAAAGCGAAATTTCTTTTTTGGCTAAGTTTGAATTTTTGGAAAATGACTATTAAAAGATGGTTTCCTATTTGGTTAACTTTCATTTTGGCCACTTAGAGGAATTTTATAAGGAGGCAATTTTAAATTTACTTTAAACCAAAATTTGTATTAAAAACGCAGTTTTCTTATTCTGAACTTTTAATTCGTGACAACTTTGCATCTGTTTTTTCAAATGTTAAAATTGCTCATTTTTGTTGTACCCATTTAAATAAAACTATTGTTACAAATTTTTAAATTTTAACTTTTATTTAAAAAATTGTTTCCGAAATTGAAACAAATTAAACACAAACAAAGAATTGTTATTATTCAGAAAAGATTAAAGGTGACCTTGATGTATGGCTAGCAACGTTGCCAACCATACATCTAATCATAGATTATGTGTTTAACCCAGGAATGTTCCATAAAAAGTTGTTTTTTCTTCAATTAAATTGTAGTTTCCTCGCAAGAAAACACAACAAGAAATTTTATTCATCTATCTCATCATTAAACTAACTTCTATTTCAGCTCCTTCTTACAAAATCAATCTATAATTTATATTATACTACAAACCTGAAATATTCATTTAAAACCATGTAAACATATTAAATATGATTACTAATTAAAAATTATGCTAATCACAAACCACATAGTTGTCACTGTTTTTAGAGTTTACCACAACATAATTACACTCCTCCTTGATCCTCAAGGATTACACAAACCATCAGTCATTCAAGTCATCAGCTCTCATAACTTCATCTGCCGTTTCAAATTTAACCGTTTTTACGTTCTTCATTTTACAATTTTTGTTCTAAGATTTTCGTTCTACGATCTTTGTTCTACGATCTTTGTTCTACAATCTTCGTTCTACGATCTATCTTTTTCTTTTACGGCTGTATTCCTCCCAGCACAAACCATCCACCATTTTTTTCTTTAACTCTAAATCAGTAGTAAGGAAACGAAAAGAGTCTCTCTGCAAATCACAATCATTTCTAATATGGGAGCTAAGACCAGCATACATCACAACTTTGCTAAAACAACTTTTGTCTATCCATGAAAATAATTTTTTAAAGAATGCTGTAATACGACCCTTTATAAAAGGAGCTCGTTGTTGAACAATGATTAAACTGTGTTCTCTGCATTTAAACACTTCAAGACTTGCACACAACTTATGAGAATCATCTGAAAGAGGTTGAGGACCAGTGACAGGAAAAACAGCATCATCAAGAATAAATCCCAACAAAACAATATCAAGATGCTCCAATAATTTGCTCCAATAATTTGCAAAATTATGCTAATTACAAACTGCATAGTTGTCACTGTTTTTAGAGTTTACCACAACATAATTACAGAAATATTTCACTTAACTTCATTTTGTTTCAAGCAGTCGTTTTAAAACAAGAATTTTTATCTAAGCTAATAATAAAATTAACAATTGTTTTTAAACTAACAATTACAAATAAATTATATAATTAATTAAATAATTATATAATTAATAATATAAATTATAATAATTAATAATATAAATAATTATAAAAAATATTATTTCAGTTATATTTTTTGTGACCTTTATCTGATATTTATGTATATACATAAATGTCAGATAAAGTTCACAAAAAATGTCACTGAAATAACATTTGATCTGTTGAAGACATAACTAATATTATTTGATTTGTTGAAATAACATTTGATCTGTTGATTTGTTGATATTTATGTATATACATATTACTTCAGTGATATTTTTTGAGACCTTTATCTGACATTTATATATATATACACAATTGTCAAATAAAGGTCACAGAAAATATCACTGAAGTAACATTTTTTAAAGAAGCATACTAACAACAAGAACAAAAGCATCAACTTATAGCTTCTTGTTAAAGCAAAAGATAACTAAGTATGATAGAGATCTATTACAGGAAAAATAATACTTGTTGTTTTTAAATTAACAACAGTTTTTATTTGATTCTAAAATTAAAAAAAGCATGCAGTTTAAAGTGCACAAAAATATTACAAGATGTCAATGTTTTAAATTTTTAAAACTTAAATTTAAAAATTTAAATTTTTAAATCTTATTTATTCTCATAGTTTTGGATAATTTAATCTACTTTATTGTACCAAATGTCGAAAACTAACAATAATCCATTCTGAATATTGATCATTTCCAGATCAGTTAAAAATTGTCTTGAATCTAAACCTTTTTTTTTTTTATATGCATACATATTTTTATATATACAACTTCATCAAGCAAATTCTGAAGTACTGATAAAGCAGAGTTTAATAGAGTATTTATCTGGCTTTACACTAAAGTAAACTTTACAAATAATAATCTTAAAAGTATTTATTAATTTGGATTAAAAACGAAAAAAACAAAACAAACCTTCTGTTCTAATTTTAACCATTGAGGCATGTCTGCCATTTCATTTATGGAAACAGTAAACTTTATGTTTTTGGAACCAGGAAAAAACATTGTTTTATTAATAACTTCGTAGAATAATACATCAGTTTTTGCAAATAGCATGAGTCCGCCGTCAGTTTGAGACACAGAAAAACAAAGCATGAAATAAATTGTTAAAAGCATTTTTACATAACTAATTATACTAACTGATTTTATAACTCTTTTTTATATCTTCTTATACTGTTGCGGGAGTAATGATTTGACGTTTATTTAGACCCGTTATTTGATCCGTATTTATTCGGATTTGCCGAATCCCCGTTGCTATAAATCTATCATCCATCCTTATTTTAAGTTTTTGAAACTCTTCCCTTTTTTATAACATCATAAAAAAAAACATGAAGTGCGGGGGATGTTTTAAAAATTTGAAAGTTACTAAACTTCTATTTCGGCAGTGTCTTTCAGGTCCGCAATCGTAAAAAGAATATACTTTCTATTGCAAGACTAGCTGCGCAAACACACATTATTCGAATTATCGGACGTGAAGGACACTCATAGTCGGATAGGGTTTGACAGGACAAGAAAAAAATGAGGTAAAAGTTTATTTAAAGCAATTTTTTTGAGGAACTTGGAAAAGTTGGAACATAAAAAATATTGTTAAACTTAAATAAGATTATTTTGGTATTAAAAAAGTGTTTTTTTCTTTCTTTTATTTGGTAAGTGGGAAATGAAACAAAAAAACATAGGCTAAGCGGTCCTTAATAAATAAGGTTGTTGTAGGGGGAGGGGGTAAAGCTTTTGTGACGACTCGTACAGGATTTGTGACTAAAGAGTTACAATGTTGTGACAAGGGTGGTGGAAGTGGGGAGAGGTGTTGCAAAGCTATCAAGAAAGATCAAAAATTGCGTGACAATTTATAGACAACCTCTACACTAAAAATTAATGAAAAATGTAAATCATTTTTATATGATTAGAGGCTAAGCGGTCGTCAATAAATTAGGTTGTTGTAGGGGGAGGGGGTAAAGGTTTTGTGACGACTCGTAAGGGATTTGTGACTAAAGTGACTAAGTCTTGCAGAAGTGTTCTCCGGAGCTGTCGTCTATCCTTTCAAAACTATTTAACAAGTGCTTATCAGAGTCTTGTTTTCCAGCCTGCTGGAAAGCAGCATCTGTTATCCCTATTTTTAAAAATTCTGGAGAGCGATCCGATTCGTCTAACTACCGTCCCATTAGTCTTCTTACTATCATAAGCAAAGTTTTTGAATCTTTAATTAACAAACACTTAATTTCTCATCTCGAATCTCATAACCTACTTTCTGATCATCAATATGGATTTCGATCTTTTCGTTCTACGGCTGATTTGCTAACAGTAATAACCGATAGGCTTTATCGCGCATTAGATAAAGGTGGAGAGGTTAAGGCCATTGCTCTTGACATTTCTAAAGCGTTTGATAAAGTTTGGCATGCTGGTCTTCTCCATAAGCTTTCTTCTTACGGTGTATCTGGAAACATCTTTAAGATTATCGAATCCTTCCTTTCCAATCGTAGTATAAAAGTTGTCCTTGATGGACAACACTTTTCTTCTTATTCTGTAACCTCAGGGGTTCCTCAAGGTTCAATCTTTGGCCCTATACTCTTTTTAATTTACATTAACGATCTTCCAGATGTTCTCACATCTAAGGTGGCATTGTTCGCTGATGATACTACCATTTATTCTTGTCACAATAAGAAACCAACTCCCGCTGATTGCTTGCAGAGAGCATCTGAGCTTGAAAAGGATCTCACTTCTGCTACAGTATGGGGCTCAAAGTGGCTGGAGAACTTTAATTCAGATAAAACTCAATTTTTTTCAGCCAATCGTTATCGCAATAATTTAGACCTTCATATATTTATGAACGGTAATGTACTCGATGAGTCTCCTACCCTTCATCTTCTAGGATTAACTCTTACTTCTGATCTTTCTTGGAAAGCTTATATCAAATCCGTTGCAAAATTAGCATCTGCTAAAGTCGCTTCTCTTTATCGAGCACGTCACTTTCTTACTCTGGATTCTATTCTCTATCTCTATAAATCTCAAATCCGGTTTTGTATGAAATACTGTTGCCATATCTGGGGTGGATCTTCTAATGACGCCCTTTCTCTTTTAGACAAGGTGCAAAAACGCATTGTAAACATAGTTGGACTTACTCTTGCAGCCAACCTTCAACCTCTGTCACATTGTCGTAATGTTGCTTCTCTTTCTCTTTTCTACAAATACTATAATGGGCACTGCTCTAAAGAGCTAGCGTCTCTTGTGCCATCTACTAAAATTCATTCTCGTGTTACTCGTCATTTAATTAAGTCTCATCCTTTTTCTGTTACTGTTCCTAAGTGCTCCAAAAACTCTTATTCGTCTAGTTTTTTTTCCTCGAACATCAGTTCTTTGGAATTCGCTTCCTTCATCTTGCTTTTCTGATTCATATAATTTGCAATCTTTTAAGTCGTCTGTCAATCGTTATCTTGCTCTACAATCTTCATCTTTTCTCTTCCAGTAACTTCCAACACTAATTAGTGGTTGCTTGCAGCCTTGTTGGAAGGGAAGATAATTAAAAAAAAAGAAAAAAAAAATGAAGCCATAAAAATATCTCTGAAAATAAAAATTGGGCAATCAAAATATAGTTACTTGAATAGCTTTGCAAATAGAAAATAACCCGTAAAAAAATACTATAAAGTTAAAACTTGGTACAAAGATCTGAAATCATGTCAAAATTTACCAAAAAAAGCACCACAATTTAGGTAACGGAAACTTTTTAATTAAGCATAAAAGAAAACATATAGGAAAAAATTAGTTTTATCAAAAATACCTTTTTAATAGATCATCGGAAACACGGCGATATTTTTTTTGATTGATTTTCTCCCACTTACTAAGATTACGAAGTTTTCGGATTACGAAGTTTTTGGATACGGATGTTACGAAAACAGTTTATTTTATTTTTTTACGCGCCAATTTTCTCCGAATAACCACTGATCTCAAAATATAACTTTAGAAAATATAGTTATATTTTGAGATCAGTGCGAATAACCTATTAAAAAATTCATAATGGTTTCTGAACTATCTTTTTACCGATGAACTAACTTACTATCAAACTCGTGGATAGACTTCATCCATGATGCATATTATAATATAAAAATTCACACATGGCTTCATAATGTGTATATCTAAAATTCCAGTTTACAACATATACCTTCTGATGACTGATGTCGTAAATATATACGTGTTTCATTAAAAAACAGTGATTTTTATGTCTATTTTGCTTAAAACTACTATTTAACTGTAATTTAGACATATAGATGTGAACTGGAATTTGAGATCCAATTGAAATTTATCTTTATAAGTAATAATATTGATAGTTAGAGAAACTGTCGTTTAGTCTATCCAGCTGATTATTTCTAGTTTTAATACTAGTTTTTTAAATAAATTGAATTTCAATATCTATATAGCTTTTAAAGAGCAGATTTTATAAAAAACCACACGATATATATTTGGACTTAAAAATACATACTATACAAAAATACATAAATATATATCTCTAGCCCCAATTCAATGAAAAAGATCGTAATTCTTTGCAAATTTTCATCAAAATTAAAAAATTGCGGACGTTTTGTACCAAATTTCTTATTTCTCAAAATAAAGCGCGAATTTTAAGGCAAAAAAAAATCGCTGTGAAAGAATTCTCTGCAAAAATTATATAAACTAAATGCTTAAAAGCTATTTTTTTTCAAATTATCTTGAGAAAATACTTGTATCCTTTTATTGCAAAATTACATGGGTTGATAAAATTTGATTGAATCGTAATGACATATTTTAGTGTGTTTTAAAAAAATAATTTGTTTAAAGCTTACATTTTCAATAACTCAAAGTTTAATATGGTTAAAGTTGTTTTATTAAATGTTGTTTTTATTAATATATTTTGCTTAAATATACTGTAAAAATTGTATTGAGTTATGTACAATATGGCAAGGAGATGTTCTCGGAGATTCTCTTGTGACTGTGTGGCAAAAGATGTTCTCGGAGATTCTCTTGTGACTGTGTGGCAAAAGATGTTCTCGAAGATTCTCTTGTGACTGTGTGGCAAAAGATGTTCTCGGAGATTCTCTTGTGACTGTGTGGCAAAAGATGTTCTCGAAGATTCTCTTGGGACGGTGTGGTAAAAGAAATTCATATTAAGTAAAAATAAGTAAAGATAAAGAATTAAACGATTTGCACAAGTAGGGTTGAGCGGGGTATATTGGGACACTTAAGAAACAAATGTTACATAATTTAAGAAACATAAATCACACAAAAAATATCCTGAAACTATTTGGCAACATTTTTGATAAGCTGGCTTATTAGCAATATGTCAATGAAGAGCAAACTTAAATATGCTATATGTATCAGCAGATTTTCTAGTTCTAAGTTTCTCTAGTTCCAGTTTACTCACAGCTAAAACTGCATTTCATGCAGGTTTCGGGTGATTGGTCTTTCTTATATAAGTTTTTACCTTCTTTGTTTACATTAAACCTTATTAATAATTGAAGTTAAGTTATAAAAATAAGAATTTTTTAGCTGAGATACAAGGCTTCAGGCATAACTGTCCCGTTATCCCCCACTGTCCCGATTGGCCCCACTCTACTCTACACATATACTTGCATGCATTTTTAACTAACATTTAATAACTTATTACATCAATCTCAAATAATAATACTTTTTGTTTATCAAAATAATTTTATTTTTTGTTGAAGATGCTGTAATAATAGGATTTTCAAATAACAAATAAAGCCGCAGATTTAAAAATAGCGTTAGCAACCTTTAAGTCTCAAGTTTACTTTTCAGTGCTGCAGTGCATGTTGCAATGACTAAAATGTCTGGAATACCTATTTAATCGAGCTAAGAGCATATGGAAATGGGGTTTTCAAGAAGATACCAAGACTTTGAAGAATTGAAATCCGTTTTTATTTGAAGACTCGCATTTGCATTAGTTATTAATAGGAGTTATCTCTATTATAAATAAAGATGAGGTTAAGTGCAAGAGAACTGAGATAATAGGTTTAGCATTAATAAAGGTCACCATAATTTGCTGCGTAAAGAAGAAGAAAGCCAACTAGTTAACGAATACTGTTAAAATAAGCAATTAGAAATCGTTTTGTTTGAATTCAACTATTTTATTTACAAGATTAACAGCTGTAGCAGGAAGAGGAAAGTGTTAAACAAAACTTTATGTATGATTTGAAAACTTTTCCACAGTCTTTATTCATGCAAGCTCTAATGCGACAAGTTAATAAACTGTCTTTGAGGAAAGTGTTAGTAAAAGAAAATCTAATTTAAATTTGATAAGTTATAAGTTTGTTATTGATGAGGATGCACTGTTTCATCGAGCATAATGAATAAAAGACGATCTGACGATTTAGC